ATCATTTCTGCTAACCAATCTGTTGTTACCAGCGTTACAATGGAGCTTTAACCCTTTATTTTCATTGCTGTGTATGCTGGGACTTGTAAAGCTGATAGAGTGGAACTGTGTGAATTCATCACGACTTTTGGTGCTAGCTGTGAGGAGCCTTGGGTAATTGGAGGGGATCTTTTTATGATTTCCAGTGCTGGGAAGAGAAAAGGGGGCAGAACACCTAATCAGAAACAGATGGACCTGTTTAATGATGCTACACAGGATGCTAACTTATTTGAATTTGGCTATGTTGGTTCGACATTTACTTGGAGAAGGGGAAGAATCTTTCAGAGGTTAGATAGATTTTTTTGCTAGTTCTGATTGGTTGGGTCAAAATTCTAATTATTTAGTTCAAAATTTGAATAAAACAAATTCTGATCATTCTCCTATACTATTACATGTCCTGGACAAGACACAACCCAGCAAAGGACAATTTAGATTTCTCAATTTCTGGACTTCTAATCCCAATTTTCTGAACTTTGTAGAAAACAACTGTCAAAGCTCTCATTATGGGAATCCCTAGGTCAAACTTTTGTTACTCCATAAGAATTTGGCCTCAGCTTTAAAGAAGTGGAGCTGGAAGGTTTTTGGGGACATTAATAAAAAAGTAGTGGATGCTGAGGAAGTGATTAAAAGAAAAGAACAGGATTACTTCAATGAACTAATTGAGTTGGGCGATTTAGCTGCTGCTCAGGACTCATTGAATGATGCTATCAGGATTGAGGAAAATTTCTTGAAGCAAAAGGCCGTGGGGTACCTATTTGTAGATGGAGATAGGAACTCTTCTCATTTCTATGCTTTTATTAAACAGAAAAGGCAAATCAACAATATTGGTAGAATTAAAAAACCAAGAGGGCAAATAAATAAATGAGAGTCAGGAGATTATTGAAGATGGCATTAAATACTTTCAGGAACTGTTCAAGGTAACTCAGGTGGAGGATAATGCATTCACTGCCGATTTATTTAATGATATTAGAAGATACATCCCTGACATTCAGCTTACTGAAATTCTAACTCAGGAGGAGATTTACACTGCTGTCAAGAACGTAGATGGATCCAAATCTGCATGTCCTGATGGTTTCTCGGGTGTGTTTTATCAATCTTGTTGGCCTATCATTAAGGAGGATATAGCAGCAGGTATCCAATAAGTTTTCAGTGGCAGGGATCTACATAAATACTTCAAATCTGCTGTGATTGATTTGATCCCTAAATCCCAGCAAAGTCTTCAATGGTCTGACTTCAAACCCATAAGCCTCACTTCCGTCCTCTCTAAAATTATCAGTAAAGTCATAGTGCCATCTCTAAAATTATCTGTAAAGTCATGGTGACAAGTCTATAGCCACACCTTCACTTGATTGTTAGTCCTTTTCAAGCAGCATTTGCAAAGGGAAGAACTATAACTGATAACACTCTAATTGCACAAGAGTTAGTCTTAGATATTGACAAACATCTTTCATTGTCATGAAAAAACACAATTAACTGAGGTATCATTGATTCACTCTCTCAGAAGATAAGTTGTTATTAGCTGGCTAGGCCATTTTATTTTTTTTCTTCTCCTGTTGTGGCTGATTCTGCTCTTCAAGTTGAAGCTGAGGCAATGGTGGCTGCTATTTCTCTGGCTAGGATCTTTCATTGTCATCAAATCATGGTGGAGATGGACTCACTATATTTATAGAAATGCTGTATGGGTCTTGCTGCTGTCCATTGGCAAATTTCTCATCACTTCAGAATGGTATCCAACATGACAGCAAACTTCAAGATTAAATAGTCATATACTCCTAGAGAAGGAAATGTGTCTGTTGACTGGTTGGTTAAACATGCTTCTAACACCCAAAGTATTTTGATACATAAGTCTCCTCCTCCTTATCTTTTGACTTTGCTGAAAGAGGATCTACTTGATTTCACTTATGTTAGATGCAATGGTTGAACTTTCTTGATCAATGAAACCTTTTTGACCTAAATATGTGAGTGTGTGTGTGTGTGTATGTTATGTTGCTTGATACCAAAGGTAATCCAAATAACAATAAGCAAACCAATATTATTACTGAAAAAACCAATAGGCGGTTATGACCAATACGTTGAAGGGACACAAACAAACACAAGTATATCTCAAGGGTAGTGGAGGTCTGCTAGGTGGGTTGGAATGGGAATGTTGGGGGTGTTGGAGGGTGGTGGACTAAATGGGTAAGGCTTCTTGAAGGTCGATGAGGTGTGGTAGGGCTTGTGGGTGGTTGGAACAATAACAAAACAGCAAAGGGAAGGCGTTGCATGCTGTAGCAGCCAAGGTAGAGGGCTGGGACCGTGAGTAAGCAAAGCGGGAGGTCGGGACAATGGTTGGGAAGGGAAAAGCTGCAGCAAAACAGTAATGGCAGCATGTCTGAGGCAGGAAGGCTATGGGCAACCAAAAACACCAAGAGGAAGAGCTGGCAGCTGATTCGAAAGGACAGCAGAGAATGTGCAAGGGAGGTGGCCGGAAAGAGAACTGCAGAGAAGAACAACGGTGGCTGTCCTGGATAGCTGCATCGAAGAAAGAGGTGTGGCAGCAAAACAAGGGGAGCGGTGAAGGGAATGTAGAGGATAAATACTCCATTGGGAATGAGTTATAGCCAGATCAGGATTCGACCCTTGGAAGAAGTTCGACCCTTGGAAGAAGGTCAACACCTTGGGCGAGCTATAATCGGAGCACCACCCGTCTTTGGATACAACTCTGAAAGAGAGAAACTGAGATATCGACGACTGTCCTGAATAGAAACAGAACAAAAACTAATAACCTAGACACATGAATCAAAGATATAAGGCCAAGGTAATTAGGATTGGCCCCACTATTGAAAGGAGGCCCCAAATCCACGTAAGGAAGGTCGGTCGTCCCTCAATTTGTTGTTCTAAATCGGTCCTAGGTGGCTAGGAAGCTACCTGTCCTGTCCAAGTCACAAAATTGGTTCACGGTACCATAGCAAACAATGGGAGACGTTTTTTGGGTAGCTCCCACATCATTGCGCCTATGGATTATGTATACATGCTCAATGTGTTTGAGTAGTATGCGACCTCATCTAGCTTCGTTTTATGTTTTGTAGATTCTTACCTAATGTTTGAATAAAGTGTTTCACATTCGAATGACTTGTCAAGTATGCATACAAGAAAAAATATGTAAGCATTATTGTCCCTCTCATTAGAAAACAGATGACTAGATGAGGAATTATTGTTTAATTGTTGCTCATTCAGGATAATATGTTGTACTATTTCATACGGCAATATCATAGTATATATTATTTTTAATATGAGTGTCAATTGCACTATTTTGCATATCTTCAAAGGTATAAATTTTTGTAGAGTTATGATGTTAAAAAATAATTATAAAGCGCTCAATTGATTAGCAGTTGTGGTTCATCTATTAGTTTTTAGTCAATTGTTATCATTGGATTCTTTTGGTATTGTTAAAAACAGAACTATTATGGCACTAAGTTGGGGTGATTTGTGATTGTCGGTTAGTTGTTTGCTTCTTCTCACATATCACATGACAGTGACAATATGAATATGATTCATCTTGCTAAGAATGATATTTTTCATGTCATGAAAAAACACAATTAGCTGAGGTATCATTTTATTCGCTCTCTCAGAAGATAAGTTGTTATTCTTGGAGAAGATGCACACAACTCAAAATTTTACGGATATATTAATGATAGTAGTGACAATTGAGAAACTGAAGTTATGCTTAGCTTCAGTTGGATTTCATGAAGGTTAAGACCGGGGGTGAGTCGCAAGATGGTATATGACTAAAGAATGATACATATGGAGATGCAGGCATGGAGAAAATGTGTTGGGTGCAATCAGTCTTTAATGAAAGATTGTTATGGTGTGGAGCTTGATTTCGAGCACCAGAAGAACCACAGCCACAACAACAGGCAACAAGCAGGAGAGGAAACCAAGCGTTTGGCGCTTTAGAACCAAGCTACGATTTCCCCTGCACCGAACCCGAGCACCCCTGCTACCATGCGAGCACTGTTGCACCCAATTGTGGGCAACCCTGTGCCCACCTCTCAGGTTCGAGAGTTCCCAGTTTTGTTTTTCATCCCAAGCGGCCAACACTCAAGCATCAAACATTGGGCGTTGTTGTGTCGGGTGCAGTTTGTTCTGTTTCAATTTAAAAGGACATTTTCGAGCGACGTATGATGTGTGTTCTAGCAAGAAAATTCCAGAGTGCAAGTTTCTTTGACATTTTTCAGGTAAAGGTGAGAAGCATCAGAGAGGAGAATTCGCGTGTGTTTCTCTTATCAGATCCAGAGGAAAGAATTGGAGCAAGGTCCTATAAGCTCCTTCAATTATAGAGAGAAAATTTGAGTGTGTTCTCTGTAACACACTCTGGTTAAAAGTAAAAATTTCTTGGCGGTGTGACTCTATGATTTTTTTTTTCCCATTTTCAGATTTTTCCACGTTAAATCCTTGTGTGCTTTTCTGGATTGTCTTTGTTGAGCTTTTGTTTGTCTGTTTTTCTTGAATCTGTGTGATCTTATTCTGTGGAGTGATAAAGTTGAAGCGGATTGTTTCCACAGTCCCAACACTTAAAAGTCTTTTATTTCTATTTAGAAATAAGATGTTAATTTAAATAAATTCATTACCACAACAAAGCTGAAATTTCTAGAGCCTCTATCACCATGAGAGCTTTGCAGAAAGAAATGTTTGAATAATATTCAGTTTACGGGTAACTAACAGAACATTAAGCGTTTGTTATACATAAGGATATATAACTTTTTCTTCACAGGTAAACAAACATTAGACGATGGTCAGTCACGCAAGAAGTACAATTGCCTAGAAACTCACAAAAATATGGAGCATAATAAACCATAGCATGATGAACTCGCAAAACGCATGTAAGGTCATGATTCATCATTTAACAATGAATAAAGGTAGCAGTGAAAAACCATGCTTATCAGCTATATCCACGTAACCATGGTAATGTTGGAACTAACCTTGTTGAATACCAGAGATAATCGGTAGTATCCTTTGTTGTATTAAGATGATCAGCAAATCCATGCCGCACAAAGTCAGCATTCTCTGCTGTCCCCGTTTTTTCCTTGTAAATATGCCACTGGAGGCCTTTAGAATCCTTCCCCTGATTTGTCTTTGAAGCCACTAGACTTTCAGGCACCATATCTACCATGGAAATTTGAGAACGAACCTGAAGACAGTCATGCAAAAGAGAAATCGTACACTAAAAAATGCGAAAATGCATTTAGAAAGCAAATATGTTCCAAGCGCTGTACAAATAGATTTGGGCCTCTAGGTTTCTAGGTACATAGTATTAGTTTTTGGGTTTCTCCTTTTCAAAAAGAGATTGAGAAGTATAGTTAGCTGCCTAAAGCAATTTCAAAACTCTGTCCTAAAAGCAGCTGATTCAGGGTAAAGGTTTCAAAAACCAACTCAGCCTGCCTAAAGCAATTTCAAAGCTATGTTCTAAGGGCAGCTTTTTCAGGGAAATTTTCTCGAAAAAGCAACTCAGCCTTTCTATTCGAATGAGATTCACCTGCTTTGCGACAGCTTTCTGCTACTACAAAACATATAAAAAGCCCATTTGAAACTTTAATCGCCTTAAATCATTTTTGCGTTTCCAATTGTCTGAAGAGACGGAGAAAAGTTTGTCATATAAATAAATAAAAAATGAGGAAATAAAGTAAAGATTGAATTGTATGCTGAGAAGACAGAAAGAGAGTTTAAATTGTACGAAGTTATATGAGAATCATTTTCAATTGGCAAAGATGGCTTCTCTCATTCTGTCTTTATTTTGACAAAATCTACCGAGTTACCACGCTGTAAATCATAATAATCCATATTAATAAAAGATCCAACTCTGTGTAGGCATGTAAATGCATTGGTCAAATAGTTAAAAAATATAATGGTGTAGGAATACCAAGTAGATGTCCCTCACCCATAAGCTTAACTTATTTGGGTTGCAAGCATATTTTGATCGTTAGGGTGTCTACTCCAACTTCATTCCCCTCCTTATTTCATATTCATTGACATGTGATATCAAATATGATAGTTTGATAGGAATGAAGTCATTCCTATAATTTGTAGTTCTCATAGATCTCGGCCATTCCACCATGGTTAAGCAAGGCTCAAAACAAATTAATCCCACGATTTGTCTGCATTGTTGAGTGAGTGCTAAGGCAGTAATATTTGATATTGTTTATATTTAAAGAAGAGTAATTATTAATCTGGATAGCTCTCATGTGAGGGGCAGATAGTTAAGGTAAATAAGAGAATTATCTTTAGTCTCACAACAAATAATAAAACAATATTTTGGTATAAAATACCAAGCGTTTTACCACACCTGGCTTGGGTTCTCGGTGAAAACAGGTCTGAACATTGGTGCATCTAGCCCAAATTTTCTTTAGCTCACTTTTACCATTAGATTGCAAAGTTCATGTAAACAAGTATTCATATAAATTTAGAAACAGCACAAAATGTTTCATTCATGGACTATTTCTTATTTCACTAGTGTTATTGTATAAAAGTGTTGAGCATAAATAGTACACAACCACAAATGCTAGAACTTGGAACATCTTCTTATTTTAAGATATAGTACCAGAGCAGAGCAAGAATATACTCAAGGAATAAAAGACATACGAAATGCACCTTTGCAGTATTAAAGGCTACGGTTTTGCAGTCAGGAAGTATACTAACTGACCAAGCTGGAAGATGAAAGGATCTGTTCTGGAATACTATCCACTTCTCATTTGTGTCATCCATATTAGCTAGGAAAGCAGCACATGTTCCGGAAGAATCAGCATAAACACTGGCCTGTGAATGCAGAAAGAACATGAACAAATTTATACCAATTAGACAAGAAACTGTTTAAAAACAAAAAATAAATATGTTAATTGAAATTCTATGATGCTACAAATTCTAAAATAGAAAATTTCCTGTAAAAGAAATTAGAAAAGAACTTGTAACAAATTTGGCCCTTTTGAAATACTGCTGTTATTTTAAGGATGAAAAAAATTCGAAATTATTTAACAGAATGAGGATCCAAATTTGTTTAATTTGATACTGAAACAAAACTTTCCTACAGAATTTCCCATATAAGAAGATAAGAAACAGATGGAGGTTTCATTGTTCTGGACAACTGATGTCAAGATTTCAAACTTTTAAATAATTACTTCAAAATTAATATGATCGGTAAAGTCATGAACTTAAAACTAATAGCCGTTTATCCTTTATTTCATTTGACATACTGGAAAATGTTCCGAATTTGGACATCGATAAAAAAATCATGTCAACATGAAACCTGCATCAGCATATCTACTTCCATAAGAAAATTGGTGCGAATTAAATTTAAAATAGGCATTAAAATTTTGGATAAGCCTGTGGGTATGGGTGCGGAAATTTTTCTTTGATGTGGGAGCAAAGTTTCCCACAGAAATGTGATCCCGTGATCAAGCAGTTCGCAAGTGTTCCCGCGATGCAAGATTTTGTCTATCATAAAATCTACGTAACATGATGGCAGGACGACAGAACATGGAACTGCCTGATTCTGATTTCAGGCCCAAACTTTCTTATTTTTCTGAATTCTTTCAATTTTTTTTAATTCTAGGTAAGGTTTCAATTGAGAGTTTTTATATTTTGTTATTTCAGATTTGGGAAAACTTTTGATTTGTTTGCATGTGTTTTAAAGATTGTATCTCTATTTTATACCCTAATGGAGCGTTGTATCATTTTTCTTTTGCAAGTGATGTGACTGTATCTTTCTCAAGAACGGGTGGTCGAATCTCCACGACACCCGTATCTTGATGTAACTCCATTCGACCAGTGCCATCCATCTGACAGCACCGAACTGCTTAAATCTGATATCCCATAGCAGATTTAATTGTTTATCTCCATCCAAATGCCACCAATCGACACCTATCCCCGACCAAACCTCGTCAAACTCCCATATTTCATTCCCCCGGTATTCCACAACCACTTCCCCACTAAATCCCTTTATCAAATATCATCTAGAAGCCCTAGCACAGTATTATTTAGTATCAGAGCCCGCAAGCACTAAATTTTTTTAAGGGTTTTGTCTTTCATATCCTAATCCAAAATTTTTTTAAAAAAAATCACCATTCCCAAGACTTTGTTACCACAAATCCTTATCTTAAACCTAAATTTTCAAAAATGAAATGTTCAAAACTTCACCAAAATTTCACTTCGACACCTACCACCAAAACCTAAGCCTCGATCAATCTTGATTTGCAATCCTGCATCCGCTTGAAACATGATCGGTAGGAAAGGATGACATACTGCAAAAGAGAAACCCTTAGTGCAGTGCCCAGGAACTTATTATGGAGGAAATGCAACGGAAAATCCTCCAACAACAACAACAAAAGCATGCCTCCATTGAGAAGAAAAAATCTAGTGAGGTCATCGATTTCCACAATGGTACCGAGATGAGGAAGTAAATCCTTTCCACCAGCCAGTTTCTAGTGACGAAGAATCACTACCTCCGCAATTCAGCATGGAACATCAGAGAAGAACCAGGATTTTGGAGTAAAGATAGATTTACCAGATTTTGATGGTTGCATGAATCTAGATATTTATCGAGTGGTTTCAAATAGTTAAATGAATTTTCTAGGTATCAAGCTCAAGAAAAATGCTTCATTGTAGTGATTGAAACAACAGCATATTCAGCAGCGAGAAGGGAAGAGAAAGATCATCATGTGTTCTAAGATGAAAAGGGGGATGCAGCACAAATACACTCCCCCACATTACTGATAAGGCATGTTCATAAAACCCTACATCCTACATTCAAGAGACACTTCTATGGAGAAGTGCACAACTAATTTTGATCAATTTATGCTAAAATGTGAATTGGTGGAATAAGAGGCACGCATTGGCAAGATATCTGGGAGATTTGAAGTCATCTATCAAGAATGTGGTGCAACTGCAACCATTTTAATCCCTACTCGATGTTCAAACCCTAGCTTTGAAGATGGAGGAATAGCAACATCATTATATGACCGCCCTATCTTTCATGCAGAGTACAAGATCAAATAACAAAAGCACACCCAATGGTGCACCTAAGCCAAACCCGCCAAAGGAGAAACCCGCATAGAGTGAAGAAAAGGTTGAGATCTTCAGTAGTCTTAAATTCATCCCAGTCAGTAAATCCTTCAAGCATCACAGTTTTGGGCATGTCATGTCTGATTGTCCAAATGGAAGAGTGATATCTTTCACTTAGTAGTGAGTAGTGGAGGAGGCAAGAGGTGAAAACCCGGAGGAGGAGAATGAAGAGGAATACCAGCTGCCCACAAATGAGAAAGAAGTGTTAGTGATTCAAGATGAAGAAATCCATGAGTTATTGTTGGAAGAAATCCGATGTGTATTCAATCCTCCGTCAAAGCAAAGTATTTATATGTTAGCAAAGTATTTATATGTTAGTATTGAATTGTGTTTAAACTGACTAGATGAAATTGTATGAATTTGGAGCTATTTTAAAATTTAGCAAACATTGAAAAAGACCAACAATAGCAAGAATGATCATCTATGAACAGTAAATAGTATTTATTTCCTTAAAGATAAATGATAGGGGTAGAACCACATACACATGAGTGAACAGTAATAAAGAATTCTTTAGACCTAGAGATAAATTTGAGAAAAAGATGTTTGTGACTCTTAAAGGAGTTAGAGCAACTACAAGAGGGTTCAGATATAGAAACGCTTGGAGATTTGTTCATCTAGAGATATCTGTTGCAACTTCATGGCTGAGGCAATGATCCAGGTTTCGAACGAAGATTTCTGACTTATGAATGAAGATGAGAGCAACGATTTGGTATAGTCCATTTCAACTAAGTCATCTAGAAATGGTTTGGTGTCACAACCTAGCCCGGGACTTTGAATTAACCAAGGTAGGTACATATGGTTGAACGGTGGGAATTAAGTTTTATATATTCATTTAACATTTAACAAATGAAAGAACAACTAATAAATTAAATTAAAACAATATATTTAAATTTACCTAGTCATTGGTTGTCCACGCCTTCTATAAATATTTTTTCCTTTTATCTCTCATTTGTTTAATCATTTAATTAAACCTGAAATGATAATTAAAATAGGAAGTCTAAACAAAGCTAGTAATACTCACACTCCTAAACTACATTAATACAAGAAAAGAGAGAAACAATACATATGCTAGTTAAGTTTTTAATAAACTAATATAAATATTTGGTGTTACTCAATGAACCTTACCATATTAATAGCATATCGATATCATTTTATATCTACACAAACATTATAGAAGCACCGTCTAAAAATCATACCACTTAAGATAATTTAATATAAATATCATTTTTCATTAACGTGCACGAAAATCTTAGCATTCTCATGATAGTATCATAAAGACGTGACTCCATTATAGTCATTTATGCACATACAAACAATCAATATAAACATATCATTCATATACTAATCGTATTCAATTCAATATACTACATATAGCATACACCAATGCATGATAGTAAATACATATATACATTCATAACAATGTGACAAATAAAAAAATTGCATATAAATTAAAATAGAGCTTGGACAAGTATCATCATCTATAAATCCAAAATAGTGGAGAATCAAAATATTACCATAGAATAAAAGTACGTGATAGGGTTGGTGTAGCTCCAATGTTGGATAAAATTAGAGAGAGTCATCTAAGATGTTTGGTCACATTTAAACGTCAACCATCTGATGATCTAATTAGAAGAGTAGATGTTTTAGATTCGACTTATGTTAAGAAAGGTAGAGGTTGACCTAGAATGACTTGGGCATAGTATAAAAAATGATCTTAATTTATTAGAATTAAATGAAAATATGACACTAAATAGGACGCAATGGAGAAGAATTCAACTAGCCGACCCCACATAGTGGCATAAATGTTTTTTTATTGTTGTTGTTGTATTTGTCTTGACGTCGATTCATTTAAAATTTAAAGCCTAACATAAACATGGATATTCATATAAAAAATAATTAATTTATTATTTTAATTATATAAACATTTACATATACCTTTATAACTATTGTCATCCAATTTCTTCTAGTTTTTAATGAAACGTATAACAAATTAATTCAGCCACATTTTTATTTTAAAATTAAGCTACCTCATATATTTGTATTGCTATATGTTATACAATATTGCATTTAAATAATTTATTTTCCTAAACCTTTAACATGCTTAACTTAGAAAGCTTAAAATAGGCTTGTAAACCTAATTTCATATAAAAAATAATTAAACATTTAAATTAAGCATCATAACTGAATTCCTTCCTGCAGCAAAATTCTATTTTTCATGCTTTGGTCGTTTTCACCAATTACCTTTAAACAAGTATTAATACAATTAAAATCAATTTAATATAGTTTATGGAATTTCACTTTAATTAATTATAATTAATAACTGAAATAATTTAGTATCTTACTAATCCTCTCCCTTGCCCTAATACTTTCGAACCGAGAGGTAAGGTTCGGTTGAGCTTTTAACCTACGTGGAAAAGTTTGACCAACTCGAAAGCTTTCGATCGAGTGATCCTACAATCGCAAGTGCCCTCCATTTCTTTCTGCTCGTGAGTATCACTGGCTCAACCTCAATTCCCTACTAAACGAACGTACAAATGTCGTCGTCGCTTTCTTCCTCCTCTCTGCTTGTAGCAGAGCACGCTGGCTCGACTTCGACTCCCTCTCGCACAAACGCACAAACTCACCCCGTCGCCTCAACCTATCGCTCGACTCTCATATAAGTAAAAGTAGCCTCTACTGTTCCCCCATACGAGTGGATT